GGCACAAAAACTGACACCTTTATTCAAGGCATCATGTTTGCAATGACCACAACACAAGCAGTCAAAATGCAAACAAAAAAGACAACTCTGATAATAATATGCACTGTCCTTGAATTTGATTGGTCCACACCCGAGACAGCTTTTCTTAGAGCCTAGTCTCCATTGGTGTTGGACCAGAAGACGCCAAAAGGCGTACAACTCAAAAACAGCGCACTATCAGAGTATTGAGGGCTCGGGGTGAGCATTAACATTATGAGACCTCCTTTGCCAGAAACAAGATATAGTTGTACGCCTTTTGGCGTCTTCTGGTCCAACACCAATGGAGATTAGGCTCTAAGAAAAGCTGTCTCGGGTGTGGACCAATCAAATTCAAGGACAGTGCATATTATTATCAGAGTTGTCTTTTTTGTTTGCATTTTGACTGCTTGTGTTGTGGTCATTGCAAACATGATGCCTTGAATAAAGGTGTCAGTTTTTGTGCCAGTTAAAAGGGTAAAACCTATTCCTATATCTTGTTTCTGGCAAAGGAGGTCTCATAAAAGCACATATACATGCCCGTCTGAAGTTTGCCAATGAACATCTGAATGATTCAGAGAACAACTGGGTGAAAGTGTTGTGGTCAGATGAGACCAAAATGGAGCTCTTTGGCATCAACTCAACTCGCCGTGTTTGGAGGAGGAGGAATGCTGCCTATGACCCCAAGAACACCATCCCCACCGTCAAACATGGAGGTGGAAACATTATGCTTTGGGGTTGTTTTTATGCTAAGGGGACAGGACAACTTCACCGCATCAAAGGGACGATGGACGGGGCCATGTACCGTCAAATCTTGGGTGAGAACTTCCTTCCCGTAGCCAGGGCATTGAAAATGGGTTGTGGATGGGTATTCCAGCATGACAATGATCCAAAACACACGGCCAAGGCAACAAAGGAGTAGCTCAAGAAGAAGCACATTAAGGTCCTGGAGTGGCCTAGCCAGTCTCCAGACCTTAATCCCATAGAAAATCTGTGGAGGGCGCTGAAGGTTCGAGTTGCCAAACGTCAGCCTCCAAACCTTAATGACTTGGAGAAGATCTGCAAAGAGGAGTGGGACAGAATCCCTCCTGAGATGTGTGCAAACCTGGTGGCCAACTACAAGAAACGTCTGACCTCTGTGATTGCCAACAAGGGTTTTGCCACCAAGTACTAAGTCATGTTTTGCAGAGGGGTCAAATACTTATTTCCCTCATTAAAATGCAAATCAATTTATAACATTTTTGACATGCGTTTTTCTGGATGTTTTTTGTTGTTATTTTGTCTCTCACTGTTCAAATAAACCTACCATTAAATTTATAGACTGACCATTTCTTTATCAGTGGGCAAACGTACAAAATCAGCAGGGAATCAAATACGTTTTTTCCCTCACTGTATACATTTTCATTTGTGTTGAATGATTATGAATAGTGGAACTGCATTTGCCTATAAAACGTGAAACGAATACGTAACTTACCTGTATCCGCGTGTTGTCACGAATGCTGATATGAAATACGAAACATACGGCCGCCTAACCAATAGTCATTGTGCAACCTGCCAATTTAATGGTGAATTTAAGCTGTGTTGGTTCCCCCTGCTTGTTTGTCTGTGTGTGCATCTGGGGTTGTGTGTTTCCCCTCTCTCGTGGGTTTGGCTCTTCTGTGCCTGATGATGGCTGCTTGTGTTGCGGCCGAAACGTCGTGCGCTATTATGTTATTTTATTATTACTTATTTGTGCGTGACTTTACCGAAAAAAACAAAGATTATTTCCTGCAGTCACGAAAGCTTCGAACCAAGTTTAAACCGCCTCTACGGGGAGGTATAAGGTCTGGATCTTTGTGTCTGTCTTTGTGTTGTCTTGTGTTGTCTGTGTGTTGTCTCTGCTTGTGTATCTGCCTTTGTGTCTGTGCTTGGATTTGTTTCTCTGTGCTGTCTCTGCCTGTGTGTAGGTCTTGGTGCTTCCGAATGTTTGCTGCCGTGCTCCACTTTGCTCTATGCATACCTCATGCTAAAATGTCCCATTGTCTCTCAGCCTTGCCTTCTCATGCTAATATGTCCCATTGTCTCTCAGCCTTGCCTTCTCTGCCTATTTAAGGCGACTTCACTGTGTGCTTGTGCCTATGCTGGTCCGCTCTACTTGAATGTCTATGTGTGTGTGTGTGCCGTCTGTATCTTAAATTTCATACTTAACTTGCAATTTAGCAATCTTTGAAATAACGTAATCAACCAGGCTATGCGTTAATTGTGTTTTGACCGACCGTCTGTGTTGCTTAATGTGGTTTCCAAATTCTGCTGAACTCTGTCTGTTTGGTATGCTTCTCTCTCTGTGTCCCCTGTTGTGTCGGTGTTGGTTCCCCCTGCTTGGGTGTCTGTATATACATCTGGGGTTATGTGTTTCCCCTCTCTCTTAAATTTAGCTCTTCTGTACCTGATGATGGCTGCTTGTGTTGCAACCGAAACGTCGTACGCTATTATGTTATTTTATTAATTCTTATTCATACGTGACTTTACCGGGTGGGCGGGTCGGGTCATCCCCGGGCCGTGCGTCGTCCCGCGGGTGAGTGCGAGTTGGTGACTGGTGGCAGGTGCGGGGTACGATGACTTGGTTCAGATATCGCCACCGTGATCAGTTAGCCAAGGTCAGGTAATCGAATTTCCGGTTGCCTGCTTTGGAGTGCAAGGGCACTGACCACTGCTCCACCGCTCCACCGTTTCACGCCCATTGACGCGGACGAAATCAAATTGATGGGTGACCGGCGCTGTTGTAGATTTTGGGAAGCCCCTCTTGCATCTTCCATTCCTTCCCTTCACTGTTATTATTGTTTAAACGTGGACACACCTTCTGTTACACTACATTCAAGTTGAAACAAACTATTTTTATTATTATTTCAGAACGCAACTGGTAGTACAAAACACACACAGCGATGCCGAGACTTTAAAGATTACCTTCAGCTGTTGGCCGTATTGCACCGTCGCTGCACGTGAACCATGATAGAGCGCTCGGAGATCATTCTTTTTGGGGGGGGGGACCTTAAGATCCAAATCCTCCCCCGGGGCTGCAGCCTCTCGAGCCCCCGGCGGAGTTGATGCGGATGCCTTCTTTACGCAGCTCGTTCCTGGATACAATGAACTTGTGTTTGTTGATAACCCTGTGTCCTTACAAGGAGACTATATCTTTAACAGGTGACGTTCGGGGAAATAGTTTCCGTCAAGGCCACACACACACAAAGTTATTGATGAATTCGTTGAGTGTTGATGTTGTTTATGCTGGTGCATCACTTCCAACGCAACAGTAGCATCATCGCCAAAGACACATTGTTGTTGTATGTACGTGTGTTGAACTTCTTTAACACCGTACGTAGCCCACCGTGCCAATGGGAGGTGGTGGATTACGGTGGTTGTATTTGTTGCTGCTGTTATGGAAACATTTCCGATGGGTTGAAGACACCGGTGTGATGTGTAGTCATTGCGGTTACGTCTGTGCTGGGCTCTCATTATTTTTTTATTTTTAGTGTTTTCTAATCTCTATCGAAACACAAAACGATGTTTACACACAAGTGTGCGCCCTCTTCCGCGTGACGCGAGTTCTCCAAGCAGCGATTTCTGTCCGTCACGTCCCGGGTTCGTGAATCGGTGATTTTCCATTTCACGTGACACCGGGCCGATAACAAACAGAAGACAAAACCACCCACCCAACCACCAGAAAGGTCACGAATACATTCTCTGTGTTACCGTGAGGTGCGTATAATGATAATATTGATATGACTTATCTCCGCCATAGTACAAAAAACAAATAAACCCTGCTGTTATTCTGTTATTCTGCCATATTATTAAGTGCTAGTCTGGACGCTTTCTCACCTCCGATTAGCACGGGTGCCTACGTACGGTGCGAAAGAAGTTCAACAGACTGTACGTACATGCTGCCCGGGGGAATCGTTGGCGCACTGGACTTGTCAATCCAGAGGCCGCCGGTTCTATCTCCCGTCGTGGCAGTTGAAACAATGGGGGGCGAGTTTCTCAAATTCACCCCCCCCCCCGCCTGTCCACCCAGCAGCAGTACAAATTGGTGGAGCACAGTCGATCGGTAGCTCAACGTGTGGTGGGGATAAAGTGTGGGTACTCACACCTCTTCCAAGATGTCTGGCAAGAGTGGATGAGGAAGGGATCTCTCGAGTTTACCCGTAAGCGAAGTGAAGGCCGTTCAGCCAGCAGTGGCCTGAACGAGACATTGCAGGGCTGCGCCTTCTGCGCCAATCGTGGCTCCCCATCCATGCACCGTCCAGGTTCAAAACCCTGCTTAGCTTCCGAGAGCTGACGAGACCAGGTGCGGGTGGTTTGGTCGTTGGCCGCATCTTCTCAACCTGCACGGACATTGATTTCACATCGCGTTGGATGTGTCACTGGACGTTGCAAAATGTCGCTTCCTTTTCTTCCGTATGGCTGCTGCTGATGTAGATGCAGAGCAACACCAACTACGATTTCACATTCAAGCGGTCAAGCCCGGGTAACCGCGTCAGGAGCAGCGGAGGGTATCGCTGTGATGTCTCCTTCGTATCTGTGGATCGATCAATGCATCATTAGACGCTGTACGGTCTGTTCTAGATGACCGCAATCGCACATTTGTGCATCAGGTATCCGCATCTGCCATGGTTTGTGCAGATGCGGTTAAGGGTGGACCATGAGTCTCGTGGAAAATCAAAACCAGGAGATCGTCTGCGTTGGGTGTTTGTGAGTTCTTTTGAACTCCATGCAGCTCTCTCCAAGCGTCTTCGGGCGACTCGCATCGTCGACGGCGCAGCGCATTTCCAACCCCATGACCGCATAGCGTGTGCCCCAGCGCGAAGAGGAAGAGTCGTGAAATTGAGCTGGCGTGCGCACGCACGCAACTGAGCGGAGCTCACCGCACTCGGTCTCGAGCGGTGTCGTCAGCAACAAAGACGCATTCACCAACCCCCCCCCGCCCGCCCGCCCGCCCCAAAAGAGTCGATCTCGCCGACTTCCTCTTCACGCCCAAGTCTCGAATTCAAAGATCAATCGCGCTCAGTGCGAGAGGACGGGGTGCGGCCCCTACTCCACCCCTGCGAGAACTCCTGGTCTCCCGGCTGCCACTCGGGACGACTTCTGACCACGTGGGTTTTCCATGATTGTCTCCTGCGTCACGTGTTTTGCACGCGTGCATGTACGTGTGTACGTGTCGGATATTTAAAAAAAAAAACGTTCGCGCCGTACGTAGCCAACCGTGCCGATCGGAAGTTTTGCATCGTGAAAGCCGAATTGTTGTATTTGAATGTTTTTGTTGTTGTAATCGGCAGCTATGACGGCTCTAACTATCCGGTCATATTTTATTGGTACGCGTAATGGATCGTTGTACTTTCAAATTTAGTCGATCGGGAGGTCGTGTGTGGAGGGGTAACGTTTTTTATCCTCTCACCTCTACTCACACTTCTCGCCAGTGTGGAAGAGTTCATCCCAGATACAGGCAGCTCTAGAGAAGCTCTCTTTAGAGCTGCGTCTAGTACAGACACTTCTGCTACCTTATTTTAATTAATATCGTGCCTTAACTAAGACGCTGAACAAAGTATTTGTACAGAAGAATCGCGCGATGAGATGGGATGAGTTTAGGACGAGAACGGTGGTAGTGCTCGATGAATATGACGATGATGGATGAAGTAAACGATGATGAGAGTGGCAGTGAGTGGTTAATGATGATGATGATTAGCGAGTGTGACGATGAATGATAAGATAAGCTGGTGAAGAGGGATTGGAGTTAGTTATGGGGACGGGAGGGAGAAGGAGAGTTTGGGGGTAAGCCGAGGGGAAAACGAGTGAATGTTTTTATGGGGCGAACGAAATTTAGGCTCTTGAATTCGAGTTGCACTTTTCCCAGCTCCGATGTGGCGGATGACTTTGACGGTGCGAATGTTGATGGGCCAGTGTTAAATGTCTAAATTGTGTTATAATGACCTGGTGATTATGAGGGTTCAGGTACTCCAGAGGTCGCCGGTTGGTTCTATCTCCCGGCGCGGCATTTGAAACAAGGCTTAATTGTTTACAAGTATGTTTACATTATTTCGCACAACTGTCGGTAGCCAACCGCGCTAATCGGAGGTGCGGGATGAAGGACAACAAACTGAATACAAAGAAGCAATTCTAGGGATTTGCGCTTTCAATCTCGACGTAAAAGTCCTCTCCCCCGCCGCCTGGCAGTACAAATGGGTAGACCACAGTGAAGTTGGGAAGACGGTTGGAGTTAGTGATGGGGACGCGAGGGAGAAAGGGAGTTTGGGGGTAAGCCGAGGGAAAATAAGTGAGTGTTTTAAGGGACAAATGAAAAATAGAGAGTGATGCTTTCCTGTCTACCCAGAACCCAACATTGAGTCTCGTAACTCTTCTTCAGGAGGGTCCTGCCAAGTGTTTGACAGGAGTAGGCGGTGATTGATGTGTATACATCCAATTGAGTGATTTGCGTTTAAATAAAAAAAGACAAATTTAGACCGTGAATCCAGCACACATTGGCACTCTTGCGAATGACATCACGGGATCATTAAAATCTAACTATAACACCTGATGATGACCGTTTGAGTTATGGTCGAAACGTCGTGAGAATTTTTTATTGTTTTATATATATTTGTTATTTTGTTGTTTCTCTTCAACGTGACTTTACCGAAAAAACTAAGAATATAACACAGCCCTTTAAGGATCACGTCACACCTGTGCTCTTGTTCCTTCACTGGCTCCCTGTGCCTATACCCGTATTGATTTTAAGATGCTTTTGCTGGTATCCAAGGCCTTAAACGAACTTGCTCCTCCCTACATGCATGACCTCCTTCGGCCACATATTCCATTAAGGTCATTAAGATGCTCAGATTGTGCATTGCTCACTATGTATTTATTTAACGAACGTAAAGTCCCTAAGCCAAGAGGTTGCTTCCGGTCCTGTAGTGTTGAGGGTGAACAGGGCTCCACAGAGTTTGTGGATTGGGCAGACTTATAGGATGTGGTGCACGGTTTGCTCCACTCCGTAGGCACATAGGGGGCTCGCTCTCATGCCCCATCGGTGGAGGTTGGCGAGGCATGGGCAGTGACCAGTCCTGAACCTGTTGAGGGTGCCCACGGTCGAGGCTTCACGCTTGGGGTTGATCGTGACTTTGCAATTTCGGCACCTAAACTCTGGGACTCGTTGCCCCTTCGAGGTCAGGACTTCCAAGACACTATAAATCCTCAAATCTCGGCTGAAAATACATCTGTTTAAAATGGCGTTCTCCCTTTAGATATTTTCAAACGTCTTTCTCTCTTCAGGCACAGCGCCACTGCGAACGATTGTTTAAGGGTGCTTTGTAAATTGTAACTATTATGACATTCATCTTCTTGGTTATTTCGGTAAAGTCACGTAGAATGAGAATAAAACAATAAATCAAAATATGACAATAAAATTGTCACGACGTTTCGGCCACAACACAAGTAGCCTTCTTCAGAACTGTCGGGACGACAGCGCTTTTAGAAAGCGTGCGCTGTCGTCCCGACAGTTCTGTTCCTTCACCTGAAGAAGGCTACTTGTGTTGTGGCCGAAACGTCGTGATAATTTTATTGTCTTATTTTGTTTTATTGTTTTATTCTCATTCTACGTGACTTTACCGAAAAAAACCAAGAAGATGAATCCTTGCAGTCACGAAAGCTTTAAATCGATATTATGACATTGTTAATAGTGTACAGCAAGCTTCGTGGTGAGTATGCCCACAGTGATAACTGGGGGTGGCCGCTGGGTCCGAACCATCAGCCCCTGCGACAAGCGGCGAGAATGCGCCGGGGCCGTTGTCACCACTCCTTCGCACGCTTTCTAAAAGTAAAAAAATATATTCTATCGTAAGTTGCGCGGCATTGTTTTGTTGTGTGCTCTGTGCTGTATTTGCCCAACGATTTGCGAGAACGTGCACTGGATGTGTGCATTGCGTAGCCCCATGCTGGGCACGGCATTGCACACTGCGTCGACAGCGATTCATGCGACGCTGCTATTCTCGTGAATCCGTTGAGAAGTCGCGGTTGTATTCGAGTTTCACTTTGTTCCATCGCCGAGCGCCGACTTGGCGAATGATTGTCGCGGTGCGAGTTTGTTCTGGGCCAGCGTTAAATGTCAAAATGACGTCATAATAACGTTGTGAGTCGGAGTTTACAGTAATCCAGAGGTGGCCGGTTCGGTCTCCCTGCGCGGCAGTTGAAACAAGGCCCACTTTCTTACAATGTATGTGTGAACTTATTTCGCACCGAACTTCTAGCCAACCGTGCTCATCGGAGGTGCCCGGGGGAGATAACAAACTGCGCACGTGAAGCAGTTCTAAAGCAAATCTATATTTAAATCTATATGTTAAAGCGCTTCTTCTTCTTCTGGGATCTCTCGAAGTCGAGTATGATTTCCCTCCAGGTGTCACTTGTCTATGTTGTGAGGTGGACCTGGCTGGCCATGGCTGAACAAGTTGTTGTCTGTCTCTGGTGTGTGTGTTGCTTTGCGGTGTGCTCTTTTCCTGGCTATCAACTCTCTTCGCTCGGCCTCAAAATGCTGGGTTCCATTGTTTATTTTGGCCCTCCACGATGGTCTATCAAGAGCAGAGATTTTCCAGTTGTTTGAATCTGTGTGGCTTCGCTTGAGGTGCATTTTAAGGTTGTCACGGAAACGCTTCAATTGACCTCCGGGGGCAACGTGATCCATCGCTGAGCTGGGAATAGAACATTTGCTTAGTCATTCATCCCCCTGCCCATCTGAGTTAATACTTCATCATGATGGCCCCTATGCTGGATGAGTTGGATCGCTCCAGGACACCGATATTAGTTTGTCTTTCTTCCCAGGTGATGTTTACTATTTTTCTGAGACTACATTGATTAAACATTTCGAGAGATTTTACGTGTTTACGGTAAGTGGTCCAGGTTTCTGCACCATATAAGCGGGTTGGAATGATCACAGCATTATACACAGCCACCTTTGGTCGTGGTGGTAATGTCGTGGTCTTCAAAGACCCTGTTCTTAAGTTTGCCAAAGGCAGCACTAGCTCGGGAAATTCGATGTTGGATTTCATAATCAATTAAGACATTGCTAGAGAGATCGCTGCCTAAGTATGGGAAACTGGGAACGTTTTCTCGTATTGCATTGTTGGTAATGATTGTAGGGGGGTGGTAGGTGTCTTTGTTGTGCTGGTGTCTTTGTTGTGCTGGTGTCTTTGTTGTGCTGGTGTCTTTGTTGTGCTGGTGTTCAATATTAGACCCATCCTGCTGTGGTGCAAGGCCCTGTTTTGATGGTCCATAAAGACTTTGGTTGCTTTAAAAAAAATCATGTGGGTTATTTGAATCTGTAAGATGTTGTATTTCTTCTGTACTCTTTGGTTCTATTCGGTAAAGTCACGTAGGTAAAAAAATAAAACAACAAAAATCACGACGTTTCGGCCACAACACAAGTGGCCTTCATGAGGTGAAGGGGACCGTACTGTCACGAGGACAGCGTTGGAGTGAAGACAGTCCAGCCCAGGTCGCGTCCATTTTTTACCTACGTGACTTTACCGAATAGAACCAAAGAGTATGGATCCTTGCAGTCACGAAAGCTTCAAATCTAGAATTGTATTTCTTCTGCTTTGTCTCTGAACCAGTTGTTCTTCAGTTCCCGGATTTTAGTTTGTACTTCCGATTTGGCCTCCTTATATTATTGTTTTTTTCTGTCTAGGCTGTTTGAGTTGTTGCCAGGCGAATAAAGTGCTTAGCTACAGTGGCTTCCTAATATCGGAAGAGTGTTCCAGACGGCCGCTTGCGTTGAACCAAATGCTGCTCGAATTATGCGTTCCCAGGAGGCCTGATGATTGACCGATAATGTAAACAGAATACATGTTTTTTTTTTCTTTCTTGAAATATGGAGCAACAGATATGGGGATGAGATATCGTTCCTGTTTACGAATTGTGATTGCGAGATTTCCGCAGCAATAAATGTACCCACTCTCTACACGCGTGTCCAACTCTATCCCGAGCAGGAGCAGCAGCGAAGCCGACCACGGGAGCTGCCGCACCAACCATGGACTCGAGCGCAGCTCCCAACATGAACAGCAGCATCAGCGGCGGCGGCGGCCTCTGCCCAACAGACGACTCCTACAAGTACCCCGTCTACTCGGCCGTCTACGGCATTGTCTTCATCATCGGGATCACGGGCAACTCGATCGCGCTCTACGTCTTCCTGCACCTGACGAGGACGAAACTGGCCAGCACCGTCTACTTCATCAACCTGGCCTTCGCCGACATGTTCTTCGTGCTCATTCTGCCGCTGCGCGTCGTCTACTACGTGCGCGACGGCGACTGGCCGTTCGGGGACGCGATGTGCCGCATCAGCTCGTTCGCCTTCTACGTCAACCTCTACGGCAGCATCTTCTTCCTCACCGGCCTCAGCGTGACTCGCTACCTGGCCGTGGTTCACCCCGTGCGCTCGCTCAAGGCCGTCACGGCGCGGCGCGCGGTCATCGCCTGCGTGTCCATCTGGGTCTTCGTGGCGCTGCTCACCTCCCCGTTCCTGCTCAACGGCCAGCATCACGACGCGTCGAGCGGGAGGACGCTCTGCTTCGAGAGTAAAAGTGGCGGCAGCCTGATGATGATATTGGCCATGAACTACATCGCCCTGGTGATCGGAGTCCTCGTCCCGTTCGCGATCATCGTCGCCTGCTACGTGGCCATCGCGCGCACCCTGATGAACTCCCCGATGGCACAGCGCAGAGATTCAAACGCGTGCAAGCGCGCCGTGCGCATGATCGTGCTGGTGAGTATTCGACGTGCGAACCGATGATAACTGAGCACGCACCTGGTGTGCTGCACCATTCTCACGAGTGCTACGTTACCACGGAGGCAGACGCTGTGATTCACAGATGGGTATGGTCTGCCAGTAAGAGAGGAGGAGGGGGGGGGGGGTACGATTGTGCTCTGCGGAATTTTTTTCTGGGTGACGTTGCATTGAGAGTCATTTTTCACAGTGACGTCGGCGCACGTGGCCGATTTTTTTCTCAAGTATAACGTCACAAATGTAACGATTAAAATATCACGCAGTGTTAACCAGGGTAGCCGCTAGGATCGAACAGCGAACCACTATCTGCAACAAGAAACAGCTGGACATTTCAAAGAAGTGGCACCTTTATCCTACATCACCCAATGCTCCGATCGCTCTACTGTCTCCCAATCCAATGACTGATGAATTTAAATACCACAAAATGACAATCCTCAAGATTCTCTGTGGACTCACCTCTGCCTACCTTTCTTGCCTCATCTCACTCTGTTCCCCTCTGTGCACTTTCCTACCTCTCCCATCGCATCTCGCTCGATTCCCCTCTGCAAACACTCTGCTCTGATATTCAATTCTTTCTGCCAAAGTCCTCAGTTAATCTCAGAATCAAAATCTGTATTCATATTGGAGGAATCCGATATGCTCTAAAGCTCATTTCACAAATGTCCAGTAGCTTCAAAGATTATTTTTTTTTGTTTTTATACTTTTACGTGACTTTACCGAATAGAACCAAAGAGTATAGCTTCATAAGATGTTCTCTCAGTGGGAGGTTGCTCATTCTCCTCTGCTGTTCCCAAAGCCTGTAACTCTGTCCAGGCTTTGGGAACAGCCCTACCCTCTGCACCATGCCCCCACCACCACCCTCGACAATATGAATGCGTCCAATGTTTCCAGAGAGAGTCACGACATGCGGTCTCATTTAGGCCCGCCTATCGCAATCCGCATTTTGTTGGTACACGAACATCACGGTGTGAAATCATTCATTGGGCGTGATCTTAAAACAAAACAAAAACAATCACGTCGTTGCACGCGCCTCCATGTCGCCTCAATGCGACAGACCGCTCGTTCGATTTGTATCAAAAGGTGGAATGATTCCATGCCGGTGGCGATCGCAATGACAACGATGTTGGGTTCGTGCTGCAGGTGCTGGCCGTGTTCGTGGTCTGCTTCATCCCGTACCACGTGCAGCGCACGCTGCTGCTCCACCAGCTCATCAACCGCCACAGCAGCTGCGACACGAAGCTCTACCTGCAGAAGTCGGTGGTGGCCACCGTCTGCTTCGCCGCCTTCAACAGCTGCCTCGACCCGCTCATCTACTTCTTCGTCGGCGAGAAGTTCCGCGAGCGGTTCATGAGCGCCGTGCGGAGGTACGCAACGAGATTTGGACTTGCTAGGGTGTTTTTCGAGGTGGCACGCTGCACAGCTCTCTCCAATGTGTTGTCGCGTTTTTTTTTTAATTTTCCTTCGAGGCATAAAGCCGTGACGATTGACCCCACGTGCCGGAGAGCTGTTTCAGGAACTGATTATCCGTTCTCGGTTTGACTGATCGAGTGGCCCAAAAGTGAACTAAGGACTAGGATGCTGCTGTAGATGTGACATTAAAAGTGGGGCAAGAGAGGTCATGGCCGAACAATTGGTGCCTCCTCTCCCCCGTTGAGGCCACAACATTTGGTATTTTGTTGTAATGTGCACGGTAAATTGCATTGTATACGACTAGCAACCCACACACGCTCTTTGGCCGTGTCCGCCCATCCCTCCCAGCCAGCCAGCACGACTTTTAAAAATCTTATGTCAATCTTATGTCAAGCCTTGTTTCTCCCCACATTAATCTTGCCTTCTGTATATCACAATTCATTGCGTTGTCCATTTTTGTCTCTCTTGTGTCTCTATTCCTGTGCACCCTCCGCCGACCTCTCCCTCGCTCTCTCTTCTCCCTCCACTTCATCTCACCCACTGAAATTGTGAACCAAATTTTGTACTCGATGTGTTTTCACAAGCGACCTGGCCACAAACCATAGCTTATCACGTGGACATTGATAGCAGCCAAATACTCTTGAGCGCATGTCGCCTCTAAATGTTGAGGGGGAAACCGGAGGACCCGGAGAAAAATCCACGCGACGATGGGAAGTGTGACACTCAAATCTCCAAATATACCGGTGTCGGGGTCAAACACAAAACCTCCAGGCGAGGTAGTTAACATCTCACCACCGCAGGGCTTCCCTCCCCCTATCTCCATGTTTTTCTCACCTCTCACCCTGGCTCTCCTTATTCCCACCTCTCCCTTTCCTCCCACTGCTTGTCGCTTTCCCTCACTCTCCCCTTCCCATTTCTCTCTCTCTCTCGCTTTCCTCTCCGATTCATGCCCTTTCACTCTCTCTCCATCGCTCTCCCGTGTGTTCCAGATGTGCGTGGTGACGTCAACCACTGCACACAAGGAATCCGGCTATGCAGGCAGGAATACAGCCATCAAAAACTTAAAACAGAAATAAATTGTATGATTAATGTAGGGTCCTATTTAAAAAGTTTGACATTTAGGGACCAACCCTTCCTTTCCCCCCCTCCCTGGGAAGTTTGGAGATCTATCTCTGAGGAATGGTCACCACGTTTTGTCTGACATTATGCGGCAGATTCCTGCCAAAAATGCACACACATTGGACACATTGTGGAGGTGGTGTGGCAAATACCATGCTCAATCACCTTTGTTTTCCTAGTGCTGTTAATCACTGCACCAGGTACTCATGTAAAGCTAGGTCGACCTAGGAAGAGAGGCCCAACACCTGTTCTGATATCACTCGCCACTGAAGTTAGCCATAGCGGTGAATTGAACTATGGACGCCGGGTTCATCTATGACCCAATCACGCTGTCTCTCACTCAAGTCAACGTTGCTTTCGCCCAGAGTTGCAAACTCTTCTGGGAAAAGAGCAGCACCCACGTGCCGGCCATTCGGGTGCCACCCTCCCCTCTGCGTGCTGAGCAGCGCATGGCCACCCAGCCAGCCAAACTTTTTTTTTACATATAAGAGTACCATCATGCCCTCTTCACGCCCTCCCTTGCGTGTATTGCTGATGGATGGATGGAGTGTCCCTCCCATGTTCACGCGTGAAAAATGTTTCCCTCGCACAGGCGCTCACGAATCACCTCCGCCACCAGCTCCGTCCGCCCCAAAGATCCTCTCACCAGAAGCACGACCAGGGACGCCTCCAAGCTTCACATGCAGCCACTCGAGGGCGATCCTCTACAGAAGGAGGGGGAGCCACAAGAGGAGACCGACGAGCGATAGGCGTCTGAGTGAGACTCCGCACCAGACGAGTGTTCAGCGATGGACGCCCAACGCTGGCTGGGGAAACAATGATGATCGTCTATTACCATATCGATACCACACGTGTGATGATTTTTGTACCGTGCAGCCATGATTATTCCACTGCTGGATGAAGGCGCTTCCCAAGCCACTGCTAACTCTCGGCATCCTGCGATGTAATGATCCACATAGCACCCGCACAAAAGCTGCTTTCATCGCTCCATCTCCTCACTCAACGATTTGTGTCTTAATGCTGAACCCCTAACTTTTTATATTTAACTTTATACATAATGGTGGGCGTTTTGTATTGCTGTACAAATGTATACTGTTGTACATTTGCTTGTGTCCATGTGGACAGTCTTGTTATTTGACATCTGGATGATTTCCTGTGTGCGTCGTTCGGGTCGTGCGGATCGTTTGACCATACTTCCCCACGCTGGTCAGGGCAAGTTGGTGACAGTGGTGATCATAGACGTGGGACTTGGGATTGGTAAATTGTGTGTGCCCAGGACCAGTTCTGATATCACTCACCACGAATGTTAGTCGTGGCCTATCTGATCAATTTGCTGCTTTTCGATTTGGTTTTACCCCTGCCCATCTCTGCTCATGCATCGTTCCATCAATTTTAGTAACATGAAGGACATTTCACCAACATCTTCATCTGATACATCCTTAGTGTACGTTACTGAAACTATGAAGTCCCCTTACCAAGACAACTCGCCTGGACTCCATGGTATGTGCTGTACACTGGATGTATTTTGCAAGAATAAAAACCTAGCTTTTTAATCATTTGTATTACTGCGCATTTTTTTACGTTTCAAATAAGTTTCTGTGAGGATTAAAAATAAAATTTAACCTGAAACATTTGTTGTACTGCTTTTGTGTGTCTATAATAATCAATATTTTTACTTGCCAATATGGCCCTCAATAGAGCAGACATCAGTGATGTGCGGTGAGTTCAATGGCTGGGGAGGCACTGGCTAGTATCAGAGCCAGATTTACGCTCATATGAACCCGATAGAGGTAGCTTAAAATCACCATTAAATTGGCAGGCTGCACAATGACTATTGGTTAGGGGGCCATGTTTCGTATTTCATATCGGCCTTCGTTACAACACGCGGATACAGGTAAGTTACGTAATCGATTCACGTTTTATAGGCAAATGCAGTTCCACTATTCATAGTCATTCAACACAAATGAAAATATATATTGCATGGTCTTACCTTGACTTGTAAATGAAGTCCAATCGCCTATCCTTCTAGGACAAAGATGTCATCCCTGTCTAAATAGAGATGATTTCCAGGGATGAAAGTCGTCCTTGGTCGGTCCGATTCCGACTATGTTTTGGGGCGTTTCAAAGCAGAGAACGACCTTTCAACAGACGCTGTTGTAGCTGGTATAGTGAGCACCACAATCTGGAGTAACTTTGTCGCCTCGGGAACCGTCTGCATCAGATCATTCTGGGACAAAAAGCTGAGGAGCTGTCCGGGTGATTTGCATTCGTTCCTCACCATTTGTGAACTATACAATCCGATAAGGTCAGCCTTTAGTCTAACACAGTCAAAGTACCTTGCATATTTTGATAGGCTCAGCAGTTTGGTGGCATCGAAATGTTGTGACATTTAATTAAATTTCGTGCAATTGACCAAACGAAGGAAAGTTAGCCAACCGAAATTATCAAACCTAGCTTTCATTTGAACACTGATATTGTCCAGAATGTTATAAAATATTATTTTCCTCTCATATCTGATCGGCTGTTTACTTCGGGCATTTTCCATCAGGCCAAGTGTGACGCATTTCTGCTCGAATCGATCGTAGAAACTATCAAACTCTTGTCTCTGGGGTTCCACAACTCCCATTGTGTCGAGGATTCGCCCACAGCAGATTCCGATGTCCATTACTTTATTCTGCAGCACGCGAAATAGTGCATTGGTTTCATTGAAAATGCCCTCATATGTCATTCTGAAGAAGCAAGTTGATGCTTTTGACAGCCAGAGATCATATCCGGCGGCCATCATCAGGGTGTCATTGTCCCAACCATCGGGATTTCCGCTCATTATTCGAAACACAGCACGCAGATCAGATTGGTACACGCTGATCGTCTGCACGAGTCTAGAATTTGAGCTCCATCTTGTGGGCGCTGCTCTTGGTAAACGTCGCTTCACAACATCGTCCAGTAGGTGGGTGCGCTTGGTCGACTTATTGTTTTAAAAAAGTTTTACACTCAGGCATACATTTTGCTGAATGCGAGAGCACCAGGTTCAATTTGCGTGCATAACAATAGGTAAACGTGGCTTTAGGTTCCTTTTCTTTAATATTGGTCTGCACCCCATTAAGATGACATCACAGAGGCTCCGTCGTAAGTCTGAGCTACCAGCTTTTCAACGCAAACGTATTTCCACAACACTCCCAAAACATAATCAGCAATAGCCGGTGCTTGTCTGTCATCACTGACATCATCAAATCCCAGGAACGCCTCCCTCACCTCACAAGTCACCTCAGTTTTAGCCACATAACGCAACGTTACAGAGACCTGGGCTTTGTTTGTGACATCCGTTGTCTCGTCTACTTCGGCTGCAACAAATGGGGCTGCATTAATCTCCTCTTTGATATCATTTCTAATTACATCACCGACTGCTTCGATTAAATCGTTCTGTATTTTGTTTGATAAGCCAGAAAACACAGTGGATGTCGCCAAATGTCTATCTAACTTTTCACCTTTCTCAGCAAAAGCATGTAATAGCTCCACATGGTTGCCACGATTAGACGAGCTTACACTCTCCTCGTTACCACGAAATGCTAATTCCTGTTTGGCTAGGAAGCAGGTCGCATTAATAACGTCTTTTAAAATATCACGGTTTCCCTTTATTTAGCATTGTGGATGCTAATATTTAATCTCCGCTTTTCATTCAAAGCCAGATCTATCCTTGAAACTCCAAAAGGTTTAAAGAAATTTGGCTTTGAATGTGAGTTGTCGATTTTTCATGTAAAAAAATCCCACGTTCGTCCAAACGTTGTCGGAAGTGGAGAACAGAAGGCAGGGGAAGCAGTAAAGGCGATTTATTTCGTAGCACAGCTAACACGGCCAGTCTTTTCGTTGGTGCCACTCCATTTGAAACGACCGTGTTATTTTCGGTCCCTTCATTTGAAGTAAGTCTTTAAGCTCAGGCCTTAGTCTTCCATTGTTTATCACTCCCTGTTTTGATTGAAAGTCCAATTTTGAGAATTTAAGGTTAGATATAACGTTTTCCATTTTTGCAGCCGCTGGAAATGTTTTGCTTGAGCTGGCTAACGTGTAGGGACAGCGTGCGTCAATTACGCGGGCTCAAGACACGCCATCCCCCAGGGAGGCAGATGTGATAGCTGCATCACTGAGGGGGGGCGTGTCCTCACTGAGGGGAGCGTGTCTGATACGCCCCCCTCAGTGATGCAGACGTGATAGCTGCCTCCCCTGGTGCTTTTTCATTGCAGTTTCATGACGAGACCAGCGAGCCTAAATATCTCTATGCATGTACGTGAAATAAGTTACCTGGAGTATGGAAGGCGACGACATGCAATGAAGGGGTATATAAAAATTACATTGGTGACATACTGAGATAGTAACAGGCATGTGCTTATTGCCCGCGCTCCATCCAGTTTCGGAGGGGTTGCGCAATCAGAGGGGAGGCTGAGCCCGTCGCTTCATCCTCGCCTCTCATCTCTCCCTGTTTTGAGCGGAACTCCGCAAATTTGTCGATTTTGACTATAAAAATGATTGTAATCATACAGAAATAACATAATACAGATCAGTGGAAATATCCTAATATTTTTTTTATTTTATTATATTTTTTACTTTTCGTAACAGCTATTTTCATTGAAGTATGACAGGTGAGGCTTTGCCTCCCCTGACTGGTAGGCATTGGTGCACATTTAAATATGTAATACAATAAATATTATGAATCTATAACAAAGATGTACGTATACATTTAAATAAAAGCTGATCAAAATACAGTTGACCCAATGGCCTTTCATTGGTAATTGTAATCTATGTAGCAATACCGTATCTATATAAACACATTGGGACAGATAACAAATGTAGTACAGGCGTGTCTCGCTTAACGAGTGAGATAGGTTCCACGTTAATTGCTCGGTAAGCGAACCACCAGTGGGTGACCCATCACGGTCCTCCAGGTGGCCCGCCGGCTGTGATATAAGTGCAGGCTGATCCAGAATCAATGATAAACCTTTTGTTTCGGGCGTTAATTTATGTTTGACTGGTATTTAATAACAAAAAACGTTCGGTAAACTACCCTGATTAAACGACCCTAACCATAATATATAAATTACTCTACGTATAAAAAGAAACACATTATAGCTGCGTAAAAAAATATGTTTTTCAAGTTACGGTAATATAAATAATTTTGTATTAAGTGCTGCCATTTCGAGATAAGTGATTGTGTTTTGTCAGCAAGGGTTTGGGGGTGGGGCGTTCCATGCGAGCTCCCCCAACTCGTTCCGTCCCTCTCTCGGTTCGGTGCTGAGTGTTGGGGGAGGTGTCTCATGGGCAGGATGGGGAGAATCACAGGAGAGGGAGGAGCACCGTGGAGAGTGACAGGAGGGGAGCGGCCATAGGGCGGTCAGTGGCACCGTGATGCGGCCCTGTGGCACAACTGCGTGCTCACCCAAAACGCCGTGTCTCTGGGTGATGGTCGTACCCCGCTTTCATCGTGCGCCTTCCAGGAGGGAGAGTTCACCGTTCATGAACCTTCCAGGCCTCCACATATCTGCAACCAGTGACCAATAGGCGTACGACATCTACAGCCCTGCCGAGGACGGAGGTTTGAAGTCCCCAAGGCACGAATTATTTCTGGAAGGTGAAATTCTTGGGCGTTCGACGTCTTCAGTACCGCCAAGGACAGAGACTATGAGTCTCACAGGCATTCACGCTGCTGCAACTCGTGACAGACGCGTTCTCACTCATCAGAGCCCAGGGGTCAGAGGCTGCACGCTGCTCCTACATCAGAGCTCAGGAGTCTGAGACCGTAACCTGCTCTGGCACGAGGCCCCGGAGGAGTTTCCAGAGTCGAGACCCCCAATATGCGGTGGGGGTGACTTTTCTGGGGAGACGCGAGTAGGTTGATTGTTTAGTTGTGTTTTGTTACATTTTCATTCGTAAGAGTCCGGTGATTCTTTATGTTGATCGGGCTGCGCTGAGCGGTGGCTGTGCGCTGGCAGCTCGGGTGGGCTGGACTGCTTCACGAGCGGTGGAAAAGAGGTTCTGTTGGACGCTGATGGACCCAACACTATGACAGGGGGCTGGGTGGTCGGTGGGCCAAAAGAAGTTCGAGAAATATACTGCTCTAGACATCCTCGTGAAGGCCATTCCACCAGCAATGGCGTGTGCAAGGAACTGCATGGTCCAGTCTTTGACTTACATCCGCACACTGCGCTGCTTTCCGCACAGGAGACAACTTGGCAGGCATTCCTTCGAACAGATGACCAAGGTGGGTACGTTCAACTACGTGCTTCCTCTTCGCCGGTTGCACCATAAATTACTCGGCGTATCTTTACTGTTTCGACACACAAGTCGACGCACACTGAAGACGCAAGCCGACCGACCGAGAGTGCTGCCTTCTCACGCGGTAAGCGTTTGCAGCACGGGTGAATGATTGTGTTGCTTTTCAAGAGAAGCACTTCAAGACTATTAAGCAGTGACTTGTCAGAGTCTCCGATGCAATCGCACCTCGCAATCGCTTCCTTTGCCTCGACGCACCAAGCTATTTCACAGCCGACAGCCTCCTCGGTGC